CTACAATGACAGCCTCCATGATCTTAATAGCCTGAAAAGGAAACCCAGACACCTCCCACATGCTCATCTCTTGCCTTAAGGAAGTGGTTGTGGAGAACTCCACTTTTGCTTATTGTTCAAGGCAACAAACAGTAACATCTTCAAACCCAATTACACCTGAAATCATTCGACAAAACAAAATGCCATATAGCCATGAGTTTCTGAGGTGTCAGTGAACAACCGAAATTCAAACTAGCTCAATGGTTTGGAGTATGGATTCCATTCACTCCACCCACATGGAAACTGGCAAACCTCCATAACTCCACTCCCAGAGGACCCAACACCCTCTTGTGGTATTAGTCACAGCATGCACATGGCACACAGAATGTGCCAAACACCTGTACACATATATAAAATGAAATGGGAATGATTTGAAATCACCTGAATTGTTCTGGGAGCTGAATTTACTCTTTCTTGAACAATACCACAAAGTAGATCTAAAGAAATGTTAAAATATTCATATCAGCTGTGCTCCTGCACTAACACAATTATATTTGTTTTCCTTCATAATGCCAGCCTTGGACTTGGTGGGTGAAGAACTCACCATCTGAATGTAAGCACCTGAGTGCAAATCCTCAGAGCCCTCAGGTAGGAGTGGTGACCCACCTGCAGTTCCAGCACTAGGAAAGAGGAGACAATGAGTCCTCAGAGAAAATTAACTAGATAGACCAGCTGTGTGTTCAATGGAGAGACCTTGCCTTAGTGAGTAAAATGGAGTGCAATTAAGGACAATCCCTGGCATCAACTTTGGGCCTCTTTAAACATGCGCACACATGTGTTGACATGGCCATGCATATACATTTGTCCACATACATGCAAACATGCATAGACATACTACCACAAGTACTCATGCATCAAACAGAACCTATTGCTAGCTCCTGGGCAGGGAAGATGGTCAGTAGGTGTAGTGATTGCCGTGCAGACAAGAGGAGCTGAGTTGAGGTTCCCAGAACCTGTGCAAAAGTCATCATGCCTGTATTCCCGGAACAGCTCGGGAGAGGCAGAGACTGGAGAGTCCCTGGGGCTTGCTGGCCAGCAGTCTAGCTGAACCAGTAAGCTAGAGATTTGGTGAGAGTCTTGAATGAAAAATAAGATGGAGAGCACACACACACACACACACACACACACACACACACACACACACACACGCACACGCATGTGTACAGCATTCACACAGATAAGTAAAATAAAAGAAGGTGTTAGATTTCTATGTGAATTAATATGAAGTACTGTGGAGCCTTTTCTGTATGTAAGGCTGCCATCACAGCACCCTACATAGAGGGCTTCCTGTCATCATTACCTTTTCATATGCAGGGTTCAGTGAGTTTGTGTGATTGAGCCTAAGCCACACAGCTGGTCTGCTGAGAGGCCACTATACCCCAGCAGTAAGACTCCATTTAAGTTATAACCACAGCCTCCAAGTGATGACACCTCTCCATATATAGTACATGCATTATTTTATATTCTTATATCGATTCACCTTCATATCAAAAGCATTTCCCAGTTTGATATTGCAGCCCTCACGATTTCCATCTTAATAGCTACATAACAGTTTTACGTACCTCAGAAGCTGGAGTTTTCATATTTTTTGTATTTTTGTTAATATAGAGGAAGAATGATCAGACTTGTGAAGGCAGATATGAATAAAGTATTTGGGGAAATGTTTTGAGTGTCATAATAATATCAAAGCCTCTATGCCCTTTACTGCTCTTTCCACAAGGACTTTTGTAAAAGGCTTGGCTAATTGAAGACAGCAGTAAGAGGGATGGATGGTCACATTTACATGGACCAGCAGTGGATGACTTGCATGCTACAGCTGCTACTTAAGTGCATATAAACTGTCTCTGGATATTACTGTCCTTTTCACATTCCTCATGACTGCCTAACCTGTCCTGGGGATACTATTTGTCTTATAGCCCTCTCAAGTTTGAAGTGTTAAGATTTGTTCTTATTTATGCTTATGTCTTTGTGTGTATGTGCCTCTGTGTGTGCATATGTGTGCAGGTGTTCACAGAGGCCAGAAGAGGGCATCAGATCCCCTGGGGTTGGAGTTACAGGCTGCTGTGCACATCACAACAACTGGGTGCTGAGAAAGAAAATGAAAACCCGGTCCTGCTCCGCAGGAGCATCAGTTGCTCTTAACCCAAGGCCTCAAGTTTGAGGTGTTATTTCTTTTGATTTTCCCCAATACCCCTCCTACCACAGGACCTGTGAGGAGAGTCTTCCTCCAACCTATATTTAGAGACTCCCATTTACATATTTTATTACCATATCATACAAGAACTCCCCCCTTCTCTATGGGTTATAGACCTCTAGTATTAATCTCATTATTTCTCCACAGAACTTTCTGAGTCAGATTTTGTGGAATCATCTTTTTGTACACTGTGAAGATGTGTCATTCTGATTGGTTTAATAAAAAGCTGAACGGCCAGCCAATAGCTAGGCTGGAATTTTAGACAGGCACATAGGAACCTGGGAAGAAGAAGAAGAAGAAGAAGAAGAAGAAGAAGAAGAAGAAGAAGAAGAAGAAGAAGAAGAAGAAGAAGGGAGGAGATGCCAGGGCCCAGAGCAAGCAGCATGAGCATTACAAAGTAAAGGTAACAGAGCCATTTAAAAGAGCACAGATTAAAAACAATGGCTAATCTACATTGTAAGAGCTAGTCTGAAACAATCCTAAACTATTGGCTAAGCTTCCATAATTAACAAGGAGTTTCCTTGTGGTTATTTGGGAGCTTGCTGGCAGGACAGAGAAAGGCTTGCTACAATTAGGTCTTTTTCTGGAATTGTTTTCCTTTTGGAGGACTTTAATAATCCTCTACATTTCTATCAGTGCTTGGCTAATCAAGTACATGTACCTTGGCCAGTTCCTGTCTCCTCCAGACCCTTCTACCACTTTCTTTGGCCATTGTTGACAATTATCAGCATTTTTCAATAACTGTTCTACCTAATTCTATCTACTGATAAGCACTTCTGAAAACTCTCAGAGTAACCCCGTGAATGGTAATAAGAATAGTAACCCCCATCAACAGTAATTAGGACCAGGATAGTGATTTCTCCCTCTACTTGAATTATAGATTAATAACAGATAGATAGATAGATGGATAGATAGATAGATATAGATAGATAGATAGATAGATAGATAGATAATGCCTACTTCTTAACCAGTAATTTGGCTCCACTCATTTTTCTAAAACATCTTTTCTGAGATACATATAGAAATCACAGAATAATTGACCAAACAACAACAAATAATAATAATAATAATAATAATAATAATAATAAGAAGAAGAAGAAGAAGAAGAAGAAGAAGAAGAAGAAGAAGAAGGGCAAGAAGCCTAAGGCCTAAGTTGTTTCCAAGATACAATTTTATTTTGTTTTATTTTAAAATTTTCTTTTGATTTTATGTGTTTGAGTATTTTGCCTGCCTGTATGTATGTATGTATGTATGTATGCATGCATGCATGTATACATATATGTACACTGTATGTGTGCAATGCCCATGGAGGCCAGAAGAGGGTGTCAGATACTCTGGCACTGCAGTTACAGTTGTAAGACACCATATTGATGCTGGGTTGAATTCAGGTCCTCTAACAAAATCAGTAAGTGCTCTTAATTACTAAGATCCAACAGACAGAATTTTTGTGTCTCCTGAACTCTGTGCCCCTTGCTGGTGTCTATGGTAACGATTCCCTGTTATGACCTTACATAACTAGTGCAAGGGTCTATACAATTCCAAGTCTGAAAATCTTCTCCTGAGCATCTGAGCATCTGGCTTTCCTGTAATTCCTTTCCAGCTTGCTTTTATAATTTCCATTCTCAAGGAAGGAATGTTCTCCGGCTGTCTTCCTCAGTTGCTTTGCCCTGTGTTTACTGAGGCAGAATCTATAGCTGAAGCCACAGGTCCAGCTAGTCTAAGGTCCAGTGTTTGTTCAAGCTTGCTCAGATGATCCCCCCCACACACTCTGCTTTCCAGGTGCTATGATTACAGGCAGGCTTCCATGCTTGCTCATCTTAGGGTGAGCTTGTTTTCAACTACCAGTTAAACTATTCAGAGATGGAACTTAGAGGCTGGTGTTGTCCTGGATGTACTCATGAACTGATGGCAGATGAGCAAGACCTTTTTGAAAAGCTATTGAAATGAATCTGACCACCATTCCCCAGAAGGTCAAGGTACATTTAAGAGTACATGAATGTCCTTTGCTAAAACTTGAGCATATTCTGTTTGGCTTATACACTGTGCTTGATTTAAGTATTACAATGAATACTGGATGAAAGGCAAGAAATAATATATGTGACAAGAAGCATTCTAATTTCCCAGTCAGAACCAACTGATGTAGCAGTGACCTACAGATTATGCAAATAATTTAATGTAACCTTTAAACATTGTATGGGATTCCAGACATGAAGAAACGCAAGCCACAGCCATTGTCCAATGATTTCTGAAATATTTCCAGCAGGGAGAAGAGAGAGAAAAGACCTGACTTAATAGTATCCTGAAATCTTGTGGATATTTATAGCCAAAGCATAGATACAATTGGCCCATCATTAAATTCATTTCTAGTCAACAAATCTTGCTAGAGCTCTGAAGAACAGAGAAATTAAAGCATGATTTGCCTGGGACCATTTTCCCCAGCACACCTCATCTTTACATAGGAAATCAATTTGTATCTCTGATAGCATCATTCAAATCAGACCAATCTGAAATTGTTAGAAGGTAAATCAGTTTTCTGTTGAAGCAATTTGATACTTGTTCTGATTTGTGATTTTCATTTTGTTTGTTAATGAAAAAAAATTAATGAGCAACATTACCAGAAATACAACCCATCAAAGCACTGACAACATCGCACGGGCTTGCCATTGCTTGCATCCCATGCTCACTGTGCAGCTGGACCTCTGGAGTGGAGACACCATCGGCCGAAGGGCACACACAAGAGTTCCGAGTAGGATGAGTTCACACCTACCTTTGCATTGATTCGTATTCTTGTCAAGAATTGCCTTCGTGGATACAATTTTTCCATACCTGAGAGAGAGAGAGAGAGAGAGAGAGAGAGAGAGAGAGAGAGAGAGAGCTCTGTGTTATTGAAACCCAGTGAAGAACCTTACACGACCTTCCTAAACTTTGGGGCACACACTGTTGAGCAGTGGTACATCTGGAAGGGGGAACTCCATTCCCATGCCAGGAGGATCCTATCGCAGCTATTCTTGGTAACATGAGACTCCTCTTCTGTAGACAAGCTCTTTGCTATGCCTTCAGGAAAATGAGGAACCATAGTGCAGGGTCACCTATGGACCTCCAAAATAAAGTGAGGACTTATCCACCAGGCTGGGATTTGTGTCCCATTCTCACTCAGACCTCTGCTGTCGTCTTGAACACTTTAGCTCAACTCCTCCCAGCCACCACTTCTTCTGTAAAACTAAGAAGTTACAGGTGGGCTGTATAGTTCAGCTGGGAGAGTATTTGCATGAACAGTGTCCTGGATGCCATCTTCAGAAACTCATTAACCAGATATGTTATTGCACTTCTGCAATCTTAGCAGGTGAGAGGTGGAGGCAGGAAGATGAAGAGTTCACGGTCATTCTTGCCCAGACAGGGACAGGGAATTCAAGGACAGCCTGGCATATGTGAAAATCTGTTTCAAAATAATAATAATAATAATAATAATAATAATAATAATAATAATAATAATAATTAAGGAAAATGTTGCAGTTCAACTAAGTTTCATGTTTTGAGAAGTCCAGTTGAATGAAATACTCTAGTTATGTGAATAACTAGGCATCAATCAGTCATGGCTCAAATCTCAGTTCCACCTGGATCTGTTTGGCGGGGGAAACCACCTGAGCTCTTTGCACCATTTTAGCTTGCATGATGATGTTGATAACCATATTTAAACAATGACTCAAGGGCTATAGAGACAGCTCAGTGGTTAAGGACTGGATGCTCTTACAGAAGATTCTGGTTCGATTCCAGCACCCACATGATGGCTTACAAACCACCTGTAATTCCAGTCCCAGAGAAAGCTATATTCCCAGACCTTAGCCAGCATCAAGGGCACTTGTGTTGCATTGTCATGCATGTAAGCCAAACACATGTCTACACAGAAAAATAAAATAAATAAATTCAATAAACAAAGAACAAATTCGACTCTGAACAGCAGTGGATGGTTATAGAGAGGAACACAATCTTCCCTACAGACTTGCTCTGTGAGCTGATGGTGTTTTCAGGATTGTGCTGAGGGTTGCTGGGGTCTGTAGAGTTGTTCTGGGGGCTAATGGGGCTTTCCTGGAGGGCTGAGGACAGTGTCTGAAGAAGAGCACCTGCCTCTACACTAGCTACTCCTCGCAGTGTTCTCTCCAATCATCTTCTGTAGAGAACCAGTCCTGAGAATTGTCAAAATCTTCCACTAAGAAATGGGGCCAATAGCCAGGCAGTGGTCGTGCACACCTTTAATCCCAGCTGTCAGGAGGCAGTGGCAGGAGGATCTCTGTGAGTTCAAGGCCAGCCTGGTCTACAAGATCTACTTCCAGGACAGCTAGGTCTACTCAGAGAAATCCTGTCAAGAAAGATATGACCAATAGTGCTTTCAGATGGGGCTCCATGGAGTCCTTGCCTGGCAGGCACAAAGCCCTGGATTTGATCTCCAGAACGGCATAAACTAGATGTGGCGAAGCATGACTGTCATGCAAGTATTGGCAGGAGAATCCTAAATTTAAGACATCTTAGCCAAGCAGGAAATTGCATGCTACCACCATTCTAGCCCCACTATATACACAGCCTTCATTTTTTACTTCTTAATTTTTAAATACATTTTTCATATAATGTATTTTGATCACATTCATTCTCATCCACTGTGTTCTCAGGCTAGCCCAGAACTAAGCATACTCTTGCCTCGGTTTCCCAAGTGCTACAATCAAGTGCAAGTTTTCTATCTGGTGAAAATGTTGGGGGGCACAAAGGTCCTTACACTCACACATAGCACCAGGGGAACCAGGAATGTTAAACAAACAGTGTGGTCTCTTCAAGGGAAAAGATATATAACCTGTTTTCCACCAAGAAGGCTGGGACTGAAGGTGGCTAATAGGCTAGAATTGTGGTTCTCAACCTTCCTAATGCTGTGACCCTTTAATATAGTTCTTCATGATGTGGTGACCCCACCATAAAATTGTTTTCACGGCTATTTCATAGCTGTAATTTTGCTCCTGTTATGAATCGTAATGTAAAAAATCTCTGTTTTCCAATGGTCTTAGGAAACCCCAGTGAAAGGGTCATCTGACCCCCCTCCCAAAGGGGTCATGACTCACAGGTTGACAATCACTTGTCTAGGTGATTTTTGTGCTCTCTCTAAGGGCAGGCCATATCACACACAAGCAGGACCAGAGATAGTTAATAGTCTAGGTGACCTTTGCATTTTATGTTTGACTAGGGGCTCTCCCAAGTTCCTACAACCATGACTGAAGGTTGCCAACAGTCAAGATGGTCTCTACACCGTCTGTATGACTGAACCCACATCAGATTTGCCCCTGGGCCCTTAATATAACACATGTAGTCTATCTTTAGAACCCATCTTCCTAGAGAATAACACATACTCTGAGAAGAGTTTTGATGTAATTATGCCTCAATGTGCACATGAGATTGTGATATACCAGGAAACCTTTGTCCAAATTGTATTGTACTTAAACATGGCTGCTCAGTCCAGTGTCAGACTTTAGAGGTTTGAACCAACACTGACTACTGATCCATGCTGAACTTCCTTCTTGTCTCATTGGGATTATTGCTCTGCCAGTCCTGGTGTTTGTAGAGACCCCCACAGAGAATGGCCGTTAAAATCTTATCATGCTCAAATGCTGTTTTAAGAGAAGAAAGTCCGACATGTCTGATGGGGAATGTACTTTTGTGTATGTTTATCTTATTGATTGTTGAATAAAGTTCTGTTTGGCCAATGAGGCAGCAAGTTAGACTGGACTAGGAGTCAAAGCGGATTCTGGGAAATGTAGTAGAGAAGTGGTGATCCAGGCAGGAAATGACATAGCAGGGAGACTCATATTTAAGCAAGGACAAACAGGAAGTGGTCCCTTTTCCCCTCTGCTCTTCGTCCAGCTGCGCAATGTGATCCATGGGCAAGGGAGGACACCAATGGAAGGTGTCTGATAAGATAAGTCTTATGAAATATATAGATTTATGATAATTAAGACTGAGCTAACAGATGAGAATCCTAGTCATTGGCCAAGCAGCATTTGTTCCTAATATCAGTCTCTGTGCATTAATTTGGGCCCTAACTCAGCGCGCAGAACTCAGGTGGCTGGCAGAGACTGCCCCCTTGTCAGTAGGACTCTGACAGCTTTTGGCAGAAAGATTTATTGTAACACATGTCATATCAGTTATTCAGACAGACGTTCAATAATTACGGGATGTTCAGGCAAATGGGTGCTTGAAAAAAATGTAATGATGAGAAAAAGAGTAGGAGCAGAAAAGGAGGAAAAGGAGAGGAAAAGGTTAATTTTGCTGAAAAGTACCAATAACACAGTATGCAAGAGATTAGAATAGAGAGGGGGGAAAAGCCAGCTCAAAACATTTAAAACTAACACACAACAGGCACAGAATACTTAAGACAAATTTCTTAATTGGTTTCTGTTTTTTAAAGAATTTTAAAAATGCCATCTGCATTCTCTCCTTCCTTTTTAATTTTGCATCTTTATTTATTTTTATTGTATGAATGCTTTGCCTGCATGTACACCTCTGCTCCCATATGTTTTTGTGGTCCCTGTGGAGGTCAGAAGAGAGTATCAGAGCCCCTGGAACATGACATACAGATGGCTATGAGCCACTGAATGGGTGCTGGGAACCAAACCTAGGTCCTCTGTAAGAGCAGTCAGGGCTCTTAACCACTGAGCCACCTCTCTAGTCCCCCTTCTAAAGGTAGTCCTGCAATACTCTTCTGACAGAAGTACCTTCAAAATTAAAATGTGGTGAAGACACAATTAGAAATGGGTGCGTCTCACATGGATAACATCGAATAACAGCACTCTTAGAATATTTCCCCCCGCTGTGTCACTATGTTGTCACCACTCAGATGGCTCTGTCTCTGTCAATGCTATATATGAAAAAAATGCAGTATTGCTTTACAGTAAGACAAAGACAGCAAATGTGTTTCTGCAGAAAGTGCATGTAATTATTTTGTGAAGCAAATAAAAGGGGGAAACTTTATTTCCCAGAAATTATGATATAAGCCTCTCTGTGTCTCACTCTCTCTATTTTTGTCTCTCTGTCTCTCTCCCCTCTTTAATTTTCATGCTCTCTCTCAAAAAATACAAACCTTATTCATTCTCTCTCAAAAAATACAAACCACACACTCTAGTATACCACAGACTAAGCTTTCCATTTCAACAAAACCCAGAAACAGCAGAACTTGAGTGCTTCCCACAAACACAAGAGCCTGTGAGTACACACACACACACACACACACACACACACACACACACACACACACACACACAACAGAGCTTCAAGAATTTCATTCCTGGACTCAGAGACAAGGTACAGTTTTAACAGTTAGGTTGGTATTTAATGGATGCTGGCCCCAGTTCACATGTGAACGCTCACAATAAGAAACAGGTAGGTTCCACATGGCTGGCGTGATCCACAGCAACCACAATGGTTATAAGTGACAAAGTGAAGGCTCGTTTTAATTTCTTCTTTTTTTGTCTGCATTGAGACTAGAGTGCAAGACTGTCTTATACCAGGTGGGCAAGCTATATCATTAGTCTCATGCCACATCTTTAAAGGCCCAGACTCCTACACACACACACACACACACACACACACACACACACACACACACACACACACATATATTTTACATGCTTTGGGCTCAGGCTAATTCTAAACATATATTATATCACCCCTCTTCTTAAGGTTAGATCAAGACTTAAGTTTTTGTAAAGATTTTCTTCAGCTCTGCTACCCATGAGTGGAAAACAAAATATGACCTTAGAAATGTGACTGTGTCACTAAATAATGCCTAG